CGACAACAACAAATTGATTGTTTCAAGCAATTGATATGCATATCTAAAGCTGCTCAAGTTGTCTTGTCTTGTCACTTGACTCACTTCAATTACGTTCCGAAAGCGCACTATCTACCGACACACAAAATAGTATTGTACACAAAAAAAAAAAAAAACAACAACAACAACAAAAATAAATGGCAACAAGCAACAAAACGGTACAAATAATATTGAAAACGATTTATTAAGTTCGCACATTCGAAAAGCACTTGAGGCTGACAATTAAAAAGCACTCGGCATCAAATTTAGACGATGACGGTTGCTGCAAAAACAACGCAAACGGGACGAGGGTGGTAATCGTTGCAGGGGGGTGGGAGATTGGGGGATTGGATGAATGGCAACGAGTATGGAGCTCTCACGATTTGCTGGCTTTGACCAGTGAGCAGCTGTGGCAAATGTGACTTAGACTTATTTTACTTGACTCAACGATACTCTGTAAAACAATTTTAGAAACGCTTAATTTGAGCCATAGCTAGTTTTCTTTAAGTAACTAAATTTAATTAAAGATATTAAAAGCTAATAGGAGCACAGTTCTCCTACGACGGGGTGTCAATAGACGATAGCTTAAAAAATTCTATATCTGAAAACAGGGTATATATTTCATCTTTTTTTTTCGTTTTCTAAGCGCGCATCAAATCACAACAACCAGAGCAAAAAATCTTCCCAATACTAACCTTCTGGACAGTACAAACTTAAATCCAGTGCAAGTTTCAATTGAATGAAGTAATCTTCTGGGTTTGTGCGAAGGCTGACAGTATTTAGGCAAGACCAAACTTATTGATTTAATGACTCTCGTTTGACTTCAATATATTATTATCAATCTAATCTTTGTTGTCGCGATGTGTGTCCTAGTTGTGTAAAGAGTATCTTATAGTCGGACAATATCAACTCGAGCACGCTTATTTGTTTGTTTTAGGTTTTTGGTTTGATTTGCACCTTGATTACTTATTCGCATGCGCTCTCCTAACAGCGGCAACAAATTATCTGTTTAATTGTGAGAAAGACAACAACAGCAACAATAGCAACTGAAATTGGATCCCAATCGCATTCATTGTATCTATAACTGCCAAATGTATCTGTAACTAAATGGTTGCTCAAGCTCAAGCGCAGTTCTCAATGGAAACAAGAGAAAAGATTCAACCAAACTGTGGGATGACGAAGTGTCAATACACTAGCAGATTTTGTATGGATGTAGATTTGATGAGAAAGTTGGATTTATTGAAAATGGTTCGAATGTCATGAATAGTACTAAGACTAAAATTGTCTTAGCTGTAATTATATCAACTAGCTAGTATAAAAAGAAACTGCTGTATCAAGTCTCATTAAAACGAAATATACGATGAATGACAGATATAATGACAAAAGTGAATTACTCTTTGGAATACACTCAAAAAAATGAAATAAAATGCGCAGGTAGCTGCCATTGTTGTCTGTACTCGTATTATCATTATATGGTATTGTTTGGCATGGTTGTTATTATTATGATTTGTTTATTGTTGATTTTATTTAATGTATTTTGCATTAAACATTCAGTAAATTGTATTTGGTATTCGTTGTGTGGGGGTCCCTGCTTGTTAAACGCTTGTGCTCCATGTGCAAAATTGCTTGAGCGTTTAATTAAAACGAGATTAAAAACTTGAATCAAAACGCTAAATATTTTAATGGTATTCAATGCTATTCACACTCGTGAACACAATACCCAAGTAGCATTCAAATGCACTCAACACTCAGTTCTTGACATGGTTCAAACGGTTAAAAGAAAGTGGCAATCAGAGCGAGAGCCTGTAGATATGTGCACAGATTCAGATACAGATGCAGACAGTAGATGCAGATACAGTTGACCAGCAGCAATTGTTGCAACAACAATCAAATCATCGCCACATCAGGCAATTGTCAACAACACCAACAGCAACTGCAGAGAAAAGCAAAAAACAACAACAATTTTGGACACAAAATGTTGCACAAATTAAAATTGAACACAATAATCAGCGCGACATGCTGTTGCTATTGCCACTGCAATTGTTGTTGTTCTTGTTGTTTTTGTGGCTTGCTTTTTTTTTTGCCGTTGTCGATTGTTGCTGTGTTATTGTTGTTGTACTTGCTGGCTGTGTCCTGCTTACTTGTTGCCTGTGTGTGGACTGTCAACAGCATTGTCTTCCTCATCGTTTGCTTCTGCTGCTGGCAGACACGAAATTTGTACCGCACTGCAAGCACCAAAATCAAAAGCAACAGCAACACCAACAAGAACGGCAACCGTCTGTTGCACATGGCCAGAGCAAATGACTTTATTATAGGTTTTTAAATTTATAATCGCAACATTTACCATGCTAAACACTCCAAATTCCAGCTGGCCTGCCAGCTCTTCTCTTGCAACAACAGCAACAACAACAACGACAGCAACAATAATTTGCATTTCTTTCAACTGTTGCCACATGGAGTGTGTGTGCGTGTGTGCTTAATGACATGAGTTAAACTTATTTTTGGGCTATATATAAACATTTGAAAACAAGTAAATAGCAGAGACCATATGCAATGATTATTTTCAAGATGAATGGCAAACAATATCTAAAAAATAAGACAAGCTTATTATAATAAAGTAAAAAGTAAATTTATTATGTCAACTCTAGTATCTGTAGATATATTGGCGTGTCGATCGTAAGTGTCATAATCAATTAAAGAAAAAGAAGTGGGGGTTGGTATACGTTGTCAATGGTAAAGCGACAAAACAAAGTCGTCCTTGCAATTCAAATGAATATCGAGGAAAAATCGTGGGCCCAAATTGAAATCCAGCATTATTTTAGAGGTCGAACCATAATCAAAAATGCATTGCTCTTAAAAATGTATACAGTTTTGATAAGCTTATGGCTATGGAAAGCTTTAAACCATCTCATCCCACCTGACAAGAAGTTATCTGTCGACCGGTGATTCCTCTGCTATGTGATTTACATCCAGCAGGCTTCAACTTATGTACTGCCAGCAACAAAGATACAGATAAAGCTACTACACATTTTTTGTATATTTGTGGAGGCGAGTTTTGGCTTAGCTCGGGTCCATTATCAGGTCAACTGTTTAACTAAACAAAACAACGTTTAGAGCTGATCAGCTTACTGCCCACTTGGACTCGATACCACCCAGCTATTTTGGGAGCACTAATCCAAGCAACATTCAATCCTTGGGTGTGATAATTTAGATCCCATTAACAAAATGAAGACCTACGCAAATCGATTCGGAACTTGGGCGTGGCGTGGGCCAACAACAAAATTTTTTACTGAAACCATTTGATATTTGATCTTTTAGAATCTATTGACAAGTTTCGAAGCTCCATTGAGACCATTTCAATTGATCCCTCACGAATAAAGATGAAGATGATGCTGAAGCTAAGCTCGTGAGGCATGCACATAATTTGTAGCTTTAGCTCATTATAAATGGAATATATGTTGTGGGATAGGATGAGAAGAGGGAAGGGAACATAATAAACAGACAGAAATTCGATGTTTGAAAGTTCGGAAGTCGAATCAGTTTTGCCACTTGTTGTCAGCATTTACGAGTTGTCACCGGTTGGGGCAACAGCCTCGTTTTTTTTTTTATCTCCTTCTGATCTTACGATCTTTAGATATTTCGGTCTTTTAGCAACTGCCATCAATTCGCATCATAGTTCATAAGTTTTTCTTTATCGGAAACTATAAAATGTCACAAACGCTTTTTATGACTACTTACAGCAGGTTTGGTTTGGCTTCAATCGGTTTGCTCAGCTGCTTTGTTCAGTTTGTATTTTTATTCTCGTCTCTTCTTGTTTTCCTATTTTCTATGGGTTCTGTTTTTTTAGTATTCTTATTATTATTATTTTTTTTTTGTGTGTGCGTTTGCTACTACTAATACTGCTTCCGCCTAATTCCGCCGTGGCTTACCACATTTGCGGTTGTTCTCACAAAATATCGCAGTATATTAATTTCTATGATGTAAAGCCAACGTGCAAATACTCTTTGTATTTAAGATAAGCTTTTTTTTTAATTTTACAATTTTATTGGAATCCTAAAATATTTTCTTTGCTTTTATCCTTTAGCATCTCAGTTCGACTGTTTTTTGTTGTTCTGCTTAGCATTGTTTTCACAAAATTAAGAACATATCTAATTCGTCCAACAAATACATCAGGCCACAAACCACATTTAAATAGCGTTGAGCACAAATCTCAGCAAGCGTATTAAAGGCATTTTAAGTTCCTAACACTGATCGCATTAACTTTATATAGCTCTTGTTGCCCATGTGCACGGCGCTGTGCGTTTTTTGTTGCCACCAACTCCGACTGTGCCGCCGACTCTGCCATTGAGTCCAAGTCTGTTGCTCAGACGCGAAGTAAATTTATGCGAAATTCTCGTGCTTCTCATGGCTGATAGCGGCTCCGTTTATTTTTTTTTTATTTTATTTTTTTTATTTTTTTGTAGTTGCAGCCGCATATTAATAAATGTATGTACACACAAATATGTATATGCATATGTATGTTTGCATTAGTGTGGGTAAATGGCCAGTTAGTTCATCGTCTACTGCGATAGATAGTTAATGTTTTATTAGAGCTTGCGTGCCAGGGCTGTGGCTCTGCCAATTTGGGTGAGGGTCAATGGGGAAGGCTCCGCGCTGCCAATGCCTTTAGCTTGGTCAAGGGGCGTTGTTTCGTAGTTTTTATAAGCGTAGATCTTTTAAATATGCCTTAAATCTACACTGATATTAGAAACAAACTTAATGCGTATTAAAAAGGGCATAGGTCTGTCAAATTCTAAATGAATGTAATTTTAAAATTGTTTTTTTTTTCCTTTGAGACTGCATTTATCACAAAATTTAAACTTGTTAGTTATACACACGTACACTGAATCATATGGAAAACTATCGTTGATTATTTAATGTAAAATTTGATTTTACTTTCAATTAGCCTAACAAAAATGTTTGATTTTAGAAAACACATAAAAGTTGTACAACTGCTTCCCAGCAATCGTTCGAAGTAGAGATCCAAATTTTGCGTCAACAGACCGACAGCAGCTCTGCAGCTCTTATATAGATCAATGTTTATGTAGGTTGGTATCAGAAACTTGTCCAGATGGTAGTGCCATCTCTAACACTGCCTATTGCATTGGCCGCGCTAACGGGATTATTGGGATTTATAGTGGGCGCCGTGCTGCAACAGGATGCATCGTATCGCAACATACAATCGACTATGGCAAACGATCCATATATCTATCAGCGTCGTCAGCAAATTTTCGATGCGGTAAGTCGCCAACTGACCACCACAAATATTCTAATTATATATGTATATAGCTGAGATTAGTGGGGCATCCGCGTGCATTATTTGAAACCGCCCCACTGTTTCACGTTGCGGAGCCAAGTGAAAATAACATCAATTTAAGCGGTGATCAAACTAACCAGATTACAGATGAAGTCGATTCTGTTTTTGCCAACTATATGAAATGGTTTCAAAATAATATGCAAGCAGTGGTAAGTTGGAAAGATCATTTATGGATTCAAAGTATACAAATTGCACTTAACTCAACTTTTGACTCATTTTTATGAAAACACCTTCACTGCGAGTTTAGTGAACCTATGTCATATCGACTCGTAGATGTAACATATAATTTTCTTGTTTCTTTCAACGCTGAACATCTTGCCACAGACCATGTTCTTCACCTTCTCGCTGGGCCATGACACGAGCCAGCTGCCGGATTCCGCGCATGTAGCCACACTGATGAAGTACGGCTTTCCGGGATTGGATGATGTGCACGTCTATCGAAATTTTGTGCTCTCTTATGATCGACGCAATCGCATTGCGCACTGGGTGTGCGAGCATTTGGAGAGCGAATGTTTAACTGAGACGCCAGCGACCATTGTGCAGAAGCCAGCCGAATTTCTGATCGATTCAAGCATACCGCTTATATTCCGTGCCAGTCAACTGGATTATCGCAATAGCGAGTGGATTGGAGGCCATCTGGCATCGCCACACAACTATCGCTGTGATCCCAGCAAATATATTGAAACTTTCATATTGCCAAACATAGCGCCATTGAGTCATGGCCTCAAGTCAAAGATATGGACACGCTTAGAGGCCTATATCCGAGAGCTGACGATTAAATGCGGCTCGGTATACGTTTACACAGGGCCGTTGTTCATGCCGGAACGCATTACGTTCCGGAATTGGGCGATACGACATCAGGTCATTGGCATGAACACTGTGGCGGTGCCCACACATTTCTTCAAAGTGATCATTGCCGAATGCAAGGAACGCGACGATCTGCCCTATATGGAGGGTTATGTCTTACCGAATGCCGATATCGACAACAATCTGGAATTGAGCTCATTCATATCCAATATCCGTGACATCGAACACTTTGCCGGACTCAAGTTCTACGATGGAGCACGACGACCGCAGCTGCATCACAATATTCAAACAATTGATCCATCACTTTAAGCTGGGTGTGTACTATTACAAACAGATATATATATATATATATATTTATGTATATATATATATGTACATTATTTATTTCTTTTATAAGGTACTCATGCCAACCGCCAGGCTGCTAACAAATTATTAAACCACAAGGAGGTTTCTTCAGTTGCAGGTGATTTGTTGCAAGTGTAGACAGACTGCTTTTTATACTATTGCAGAGAGTATTATAATTATATAATAAAGAAGATGTCTCCGACCCCATTCTTGATCATTATCGCTAGCCGACTGGATATAGCCATGTTCATCTAGTTTTGAAATTATGTTGATAAAACTCGGTTTTTACCATTATTTATGCTGCAAACAGAACTTATATCAAAGTTTCATAAGAGCAATCGTTTGAAAGCTGAGTTCTTGCATGAAAAACTTTTTTGTTCAACAATTTATCTTAATCAAACTCCCCAGTTATGCTCCTAACATTTAAATACTAAACACATATTTAACTTTCTATGCTTAAACCTTTGTTAGGGATCGCCTTAAGATGGTATTAAATTGTGAGTGCTCTGAGTTACACAACTTATACATATATTGTTGCTGTTTTGTGCTTGGATCTCGGTTCTGTTTTTCTTGAGAAGAATCTTTTAGATTTCCGCTGCGAATTCTAAAAGCAGCAACTTATCGTTCAGGATCTGACTACGCAACTGCTCAACGTTCTCGCCCTCTCTACAAATCTCTCTCTTTCTTTTTATGCTGCGGGCTCTTTCGCTCTTGCCAAAAATCTGTGCATGTTTAATTTTCATGATAATTCAAGTTTGTTTTTTTTTTTCTTTTTTTGGGTCTTACTTTGTTCTATGCGTTGTTGTTGTACTCATGTAATTAAAGTATCATTCACACCGTGTGTTCGCACAAATCTAACGGCATTTTGCTAAAATAATAATAATAAAAACACAAGCAAGAGCGAAAGAGTACGAAACAGAGATAGGCAGGCAGCAAATAACAAAGCACAAGCAAAAACAAAAAAAAAAACAAAAAACAGAACAACAAAAAGTCGTCGTTCGTTGCTTCCGCCGTGCGACAGAACCTAACAAAAGCGGCCGCTTCAATGACTCAACTTCAGATATGTACAAGCACCCCCCTTCCCCCACCCCCCCTCAAGACCCTCTTAGCACCACAGCACTATTGCTCTTCCCCTTGAGTACGCTATGCCCTCAGCCCCTCGCCTGGATTGCCCCAAAACCCATATCAACCCTGGCCTGTCCACGGTTGACAATTCTTTTAGTCTTTGACCTTTTCGGAGCATAATTGTTGTGCATGTGTGTGTATGTGTGTGTGTGTAAGTGTACCTGCTCAAGTTTTGTCGTGCTGGACAATTAACATGAACTTTTAGCTTTGCTTAATTACGCCAAGTCGTCGTTCTTAAAATGGCGCAAAAAAAAAGGTCGAAACCAAAAAAAAAAAAACGCTCCAACTTGAGGTTAATTACATTTTGAAGAGCAACAACAATATAACTTAGCAAAGCAAATTGAATTCTTGTTGTTGTTAGTGGTGCCAAGCAGCAAGCAGCAACCAGCAACAGTGGCTGCAGTCAGTTAATGGCATAGACATCAAGCGGCCACAGCAAACAGTCCGTGTGACAATTATGTAAATGGACGAACGCACTTCAAATTGTTATTCTTCTTGGTGTATGTGTGTGTGTGTGTGTGTGATAAATGTTGTTGTTGTTGCTTTGAAATAAGTGAATTTTGTTTGCTGAAGGTCATACTTACTCACACACACACGCCCAGGCAGACACTGACAGCCAGTTACCGTTAAGTGATGCTTTGGGGGTCAATTGCAGCTAGTTTGTGTCTTAAGTCATTTGTTTTTTGGTAAATGAAGCTGTTAGCAGACAAAAAATTGGACAAATATAAAGAGAAGAACTGAGCTAGGCTAAAAGGGAAGTACACGTTTTGTACTTCAGAGCTCATTTAATGTTGTTATTTGTGTGTGTGTGTGTTTGATAAGATTTTGTATTAGAATTGGTTAAAAGATTGGATAATGCTCTCCTTCATGGTGCAGTTATACATATATGTACCATAAACTCTAGCTATAGAAGGAAAAAGGCGATATCTAATAGTACGTAACTAGATAGTGGGGATACATCATTCAACATAAGCATTTTGTTTTAATTCTAGTATTACTTTCGAAGGTATTAAACCTAACCAAAATTGGCAGAGTTGCGTTTTAAAACTCTTAAAAATGGAAACTGAACAACATTTAATACAATACTTGATACATTCTCAAGTTTAACAACACTTGAAATTTGAAGAAGCTGCCCAGCTGGGCCTGCATTGTGTTGTGAACCACCTAGCAAGAAAACAAAACGTCAATTTGAATAATATACGGATCTTTATAAAATGGAAAGCTTATCATCTTATCGGCGTTGAAGAGCTTTCTTTGGGCAAGCGCCGCTGATTTCAAATGAAGCCGCAATGTGTTGAGTCATCATCACCCGTAATGCATGCGGCATATGTGGCATGTGTCGATATAGGGAAGTACGATATCAAAATGCATCTTGCTGCATGCTTGACGCTCGAATGCAAATGAATTAAATTTACACATCTGCAGCGGTTCATTTTGAGAAAAGATTAATGAACAAATAAATAAACAAAAGAGGCGTTAGAAACAAACCGGCGATAATTTGTATATAATTTGTTTGTTTTTGGTCATTTATTTGTTTTTGATTCTGTTTTTGTTTTATTTATTTATTAGTATTATTTTGTTTTTAATTTTTTCTTTGTTTCCGTTTTTGATCAGTCCGCTACTGTTATCGATTACTTAAAAGCGCATTTGTCTTGGCGAAGCGACCCTGATAAGGGAGTTATCACGGCACGAGTTGGCTACCGAAAATTAAAGTCATTTATTGTAGTCGAGGAAAATTAAGTTGGAACACCTCTTGAAGTTCATTTGCATAACATTTAAGACACACTAACACGCGACACATAAGACAAAAATGTACCGTAATCCATCGAAGCCAGCAACAACTTAAATTAGCTTGGAAAACCAAACAACAATACGAATTTTATGTACCCTAATAGAAGACTCTAATGAAGTAATTTCTATCGAGCAAAGTCTTTCACTGGAAAAAAGTATGCATACAATTTATACAACCTGTTAATTGAATTTTCAATAAGTTTTAAGAGAGTCTGATGAGTCTTAAGAAAAAATATAGGTAAAGTGAGTAGAGAGGAAAACATATCATTTAAGGCTCAACAATATATGATTTCCAGAGCAATTGTTGTTAAAAAGTGTCCACATAGCCAAGTCGCAAGTTGTTAACTTAGCTAATATAGCCTAGCATCGGCTAAACGTTGTTAAAATGAATACAATTTATCGATACATATATAGGATATTTAATAGGAGAAAATGAAACTGCAGCTGCTATTGATGCTTCTGGTGCTGATGCTTAGGCTGCATCAGAGTTGCAACGACGACGACGACGACGACGACGACGAGTCGACACAAGGCAATTAATCAACGAAATGAGTTTTATTCATTTTAAATGATCGCTCGTAGCCGATCTCGCAACAACATCATGCAGCATCCAATGCAATCCGCACCGTTAGCTGTCGTTTGTCGTCGGCCAAACGCAAACGCCGCTGGCCACACTTGGGCAGTCAATCACTATGGTTGTAAGACCAAAGTCCGTGCGGGAGAGACGGCTGGACTTTTGAGCTGAAAACATTGCTAAGACTCAAGACAACAGACAAAAGAGTCTGAAGAATCGCCGTGGCGTTTCGGGCGTATGCAATTTTCAAATCAAATTCGCTTTCATGCCATTTGGCCACACAATAAAAAACATGTGAGTAAAACTTTTGTCGGGAGTGCGTAACTGGCAGATACCCAGTCTGCAGTCTGGCCGTTAACGAGGCTCTTTCATTTTCCAAATATTTCTTACTTCAATTATATTTCAGCAATTATATTTTTAAAAGTAAAGCAATGCATGTATAAAATACTATCAATTTTAATTTCTTTATCTATAAATTCAGACTCATATGAACTCATATGGCGCTCTGGGAACAACAATAAATATAAAACAATATAACTGGATTGACTGTAATCAAAAGTACGTCGCTGGCAGCTACCAACTGTTGCATGCTACCTGCACACATCTACAGGGTAGTGGAAAGAGCAAATTTCATTGCACACGGCTGCCGCACATAAATTTAATAAAAGGCTGGGCGCTGCGAGCCGCACAAAAGTTAGCCAACTGCTTATCGAGGCTGCTGGGGGCACCGTGAAGCCAGCAAAGAGCACATAAAAAACACACAGATGCACTTAATGTGCGCCCACCTCTTGTCAGCCGAACGCTGCCTCCCCCAGCACTCCACTCCTAACCCTCCACCTAGCCACCTGCCTGCTACCCGAAAAAATAAAAAAACAAGAACCAAACAAAAACCAACTAATGGGGTGTGGCATTGGCCAGTGCAAATAAATTAAAGAGCATCGCGTGAAAAACATACACACACACACACACACACACACATACAACAGAAAAATCCTCAAATTCATAAACGACGGAAGGAGAGGTGGGTGACGTGAGTGGAGAGTGTTGGGCTGTGGAAACTGGCGGGTAAAGTTAGGTGGACCGCAACAACTGTTGGAGGCATTTTGATTGCATTTCATTTCATGAGCAACGCGTCGCAGCGATTTTGGTTTTTATTTGCTTTGCAAATTGCGTCCAAATGAGAGAATCGCGGCAATACAGGAGGATGAGTATTTGGATGGAAGCGAAGGCGGTAACTGCGGATGAGAGACTGAGGTAGAGGATCAGCCAACGTTTGCGGTTGGAGGGATGAGAGGCTGAGACTGAGACTGAAGCTGAGCTGGAGACAGTGATTGAAGAAGAGACCAAGGCAGGAGACAAGTTCAATGTGGAAGCTTTGGATGGCGCAACTGAAAGTGCCACTGAGTGAGAGAGAGAGAGAGAGAGAGAGACTCAAGCTGAAGCTGGTAGTGGATGAGATCTTGTGCTTTATGATTTCTTATCTGTGCAGCTGCCTGCACTCTCCAAATGTGTATGTTTTGTGTGTGTGTGTGTGTGTGTGTCATTCCTTGAGCAAATAATGGCAGCAATTACGAGAAGGTAGTGGCAAAACGCATGTAGGCAAAATCCAAAGTCAAAGTCAAGAAAAAGCAAACAAGAACAAGAAAGCCAAAGTCAACTGATTGCACTGGATGATTATGCAATTTAGCAGCTTGTAAGTGATTGTT